TTTTTTTTTGCTTTTCTGGGTAACAAGCTTGGGATTTGCATGTTCGTCAGATTTTCTGAGAATCTTTAGATGAGTTTTCTGGCGGTTTTTTTTTCTTTTTCAGATCTTCAGTTGTAGGTTTCTCATTTCTCCAAGTGTTTTTCGTTCAGCAGCCGATACGATATAAAAAATCAACTCTTCTTCTTTCCTTTGGTTATCATTGATTTGACATCCTTGCACCGACTCAAGTGAAGTAGAAATGACCTACGAATTCTTCTCGATCCTCCCTTTCTTTGATTCCTATGTCGAGTTGACTTACACGTTTTTCTCATTTCTTCAATGATTTTTCTTGGAGTCGAACCGCAGTTATGGTTATCTTCGTCTATTGATTGTCGTTCTCTCTCTTCCTTTCTCTCCTCTTTTTTTTTTTAGATTCTGACTCCGCCCCCGTTTTCGATCCTGTTTCCGGCTCTCTTGCCCATGAAATTGACGAATACTCGGGTTCTGACTCTGTTCAAATAATCGAGGTTAGACCGAGTGCTAATCAAAATGTCGAGCCGGAGGGCTCTGTTAACTCCAATGCCTCATATACTTCAATATTTCGTTCGATCTGAGATTTGAACATACGATCCATCAATCGTTGGTAAGTTGCTCCTGCATTCTTAAGTCCGAAGGGCATGACGACATAGCAATATGTCCCTTTGCTCGTCACAAAACTCACCTTACTCTGATCCTCAGGGGCCAACGGAATCTGATGATATCCCTGAGATGCATCCATCATACTTAGCAACTCACACCCAGCCGTGGAGTCGACTAGCTGATCAATTCGTGGTAAGGGATAGTGATCTTTGGGGCACGCCAAGTTCAAGTCACGAAAATTGATGCACATGCGCCATTTGTTTAGTGCCTTCCTTACCATCACCGTGTTGGATATCCACCCAGGGAATTGGATTTCTTTGACATGCCCCGCCCGCAGCAACTTATCCACCTCGATCTCAATGGCCTTGTCGATTTCTCCACCATGGTGTCTAAGTCGTTGTTTAACTGGTTTTCTGAGGGGGTCGACGTTGAGTTTATGCTCCATAATGGTGGGGTCGATCCCCGTCAGCTCCTCAGGGGTAAAAGTGAAAATATCCCTGAACTCCCTCAGCAATGCGATAAGTTGGTCTTGCAATTCGTCCTCTAGATCTTTCCCGACCTTAGTGGTCTGTTCCTCCGTTTCTCTAATTTGTATTTCCATTAACTCCCCGTGTGGTTCAAGATCGCTACTCCTTGGCCTCTTCTCGCTCGACATTGGCTTCTTTCCTTCTCTTAACTCCGCTCGCTGGTTTGCCTTTACTGCTATTTGATAACAGGTCCTTGATAGCTTCTGATCTCCTCGAGCCTCCCCTACTCTGTCCCCAATGGGGAACTTTAGCTTCATATGGTAGGTCGACACCACTGCTTGGAATGCGTTGAGCGTCGGCCTGCCCAGAATCACATTATAAGCCGACTCGACATCGACTACAACGAACTGCACCATTTTTACTTTCCTCAAGTCGCCTTCCCCTAGGACGACAGCGGGCGTTGTTTCTCCTAGGGGTGCGACTTCTGATCCATTGAAACCAAAGAGTGATGTATGCAGAGGTGCAAGATCGATGTCGAGTTCCATCCATTTGAGACAGTCGTAAAAGATCACATTCACCGAACTCCCTATGTCGACAAAGATTCTCTGTACTTCGTAGCCCGATACTTGGGCGGTTATCATCAAGGCATCATTGTGAGGCCTTTCGACCTCTCCTACGTCTGCTGGGCCAAAATTCATCACTAGCCTCCATCATCGACTTGTTGTATCTCGACCTTAGAGTGCCTCCCTCGGGCATGTGCTTTTCTTGCTCGATTCGAGTCTCCATCAGTTGGCCCACTGAAAATCATATGAATTACTCCTTTTTTCGGGGGAAGCTCCTCCTTCTCGGGTGACCTCGCCCTCTTACGAGGGCTCTTGCTCCTCTCCCTCTTTCGGGCCATCCTCTCGCGATCCTTGTATATGAATTCTTTCAAATGGCCCGCTTTTATCAACTTCTCGATCTCGTCTTTGAGGTGTCTACAATCGTTAGTATTGTGCCCATAATCTTTGTGAAATCGACAGTATAGGTTGCTTTTAGGCCTTGTCGGTCCATCATTCCTCGTTCTGGGCCATCTCACCACATTGTCATGAATCTCCCTTTCCATGACCTCGAGAATCCTGGCTTTGGGAACTGCCAGAGGGGTGTACTGAGTAGGCCTCCAGTTCCTAGGTCGCCCTTCTATTTCCGTTCGTGGGAACCCCTTTCTCTCCCCAATCGAGGGATTCTTCCTCTCCCTCCTCTCGTCCCGAGATTCCGTTTTGATTACTTTAGCTGTTTGTAAGAAATCGGCTTCTGCTTCCTCGACATTCATGTATTTCGCACATCTCCCCAGCACTTCATCGAACGTTCTACCCGGGCGTTTTGCCAAAGAATACCTACACAAACCTGGTAGTAGCCCTCGAGTCAAACCTCCCGCCTTTATCTCTTCCGAAGCCCTGAGCACCTCGACGCATGACTTCGTGTATCTCGCCACATAATCTCGCAGTCACTCACCTTCTTTCTGTTGTATGCCCATCGGAGTTAGATATGACTTCTACTGTGGTCTAACACTTGAAAATTCATTG